GTGAGGCCCCATTGCTCAATGCTGAGGTTCAAACAGCCTGTGACACCACCTCTGAGATATCTGCAATTCAATGGCTGAATACAAATCATTCATCTGTGTGGTGTGGGGAAACAAACAGAAATAGTGCCAACTCACTGGCAAGGAACAGAGTGAAACATGTTCCAGAAAATCCATCCCAAGGGTGGTAGCTATTGCATGGATCAGTCATGGTGAAGAAGCAGGAGACCCTTAATATTTTCTCTTGCCCATAACAATGCCCAGGTCTTCCTTTGCACACCACAGATAAGGGGCTAGGCTCTCGACTTTAGAGTGCCCTTGGAGAGAGTTGACCATTCAGGGTTAGGATGAGTGCTTGGCCAGCATCAGAGCTGGCCGGAAGCCAGCCCGGGCAGCCAGTATTCTCCATAGGAGGCCATCTGCCCAGGTAGTGGAGTTCATTCTCTGGAGACACAAGAGACAGGATTTGAAATCTGCCTCTTCCACCCACGAGCCTTGCCACCTTAGGAAAGTTCACCCCTATTTCTATAGTTCAGTTTGCTGCTCTGTACAACGGGGATAGTAATAGTTCCTATCTCTATGCCTATCACAGAACAGGGCACATTACAAATAGCAGATGGTGTGTTTGTTTTGATAAAGGAAAGTGAAGACCCTAGAGCACAATTAGATAGAAGGATTGCATTTTTAACAGTGTTGTTAAAAAGCTAAAAATGAAATCTTTTTTCCCTATCTCTTTAAGATCATTTCCTCCCATCTTCTTGTCTGTGTGCAGGCTCTGTGAGCGTCCCTTTCATGGGCCTAACTGCCACTCCATCTATCCCTTGGGCCTGTATCAGTCCTGGGTCACACTTGGCCCTGGTGGTACTCTTCATAAGCCACTTACAGTGCCCAAGATGTACCCTTACTTTTGCTCTGTATCAGATTTTTTTTGTAAAGACATTTATTTGAAAGAGTGATAGGGAAAGACAGAAAAAAGAGGTCTCCCATCCACTAGTTCATTTCTCAAATGGCCACAAAAACTGAGGTTGGACCAGCCTATAGCCAGGAGCCAGGAGCCAGGAACTCCAGCCTGGTCTCCCAGATGGGTGGCAGGGGCCCACCATCAATTGCTGCTTTCCCAGGTACATTAGCAGGAAGCTAAAGTGGAAGTGGAGCAGCCAGGACTTGAACCAGTGCTCCAGTAAGGGATGCAGGTATTGTAAGTGGTTGGCTTAACCCACTGTACCACAATACTGACACCTCTGCATCAAACTTGTGAGTACTGCCCACAAATTAATATGCTTTTATGTTCTTGATCAAGAATGATTTGAATTTTACTGTGCTTACAGCTCCCAGTGAGTGGACCAGGGGTGAGCTGGGATATAATGATCCGAAAGTCAGAGGTAACCTGGACCTCCTTAATGAATAGTGAAGTGGGAAGCCCTGGGTCTGTCACTGGCAAGTCATTTGCCACCTCTCTTGACCTTGGTTTCCTGTCCAGAAAATGCATTTGAGCCAGTGACTCCTCCACCCTCCAGCTGTGACCTTAACAACACTATGAAGAGCTCTGTGTGCTAACTTTCACAATAGCTCTCCTGCCTCTGGTCACTGTGTGTGTACAGCAGTCAAACTGGCAGATCCAAGATCAATGGCCAGGATCAGTCCATTTGCTTGGGGTATGCTTGGCTGTTTCTGAAATGCCCTGAGTTGCCATGGGAAACAGCTTCACACAGCTTGACTTGAGCAGGCTCTGTTTCTTTCAAACACTCCACCAAGCTGAAGCATATCACAAACATGACTGCCCTGGATGGTGCAAGAGCTCAGGATTCTGTGTGTGGGAGCTAGACGCTCAAGAAAATCTTATTTCACAAACACCTCCCTTATTATATTGCTTCTTTCATGAATCCTTCTTAGACACCTTGATTCTCACAAAGGCTCTGTGAGGATGACCCAAAAGGCCATTTTTTTAAGAAATAATTTATTTGTGAGAGAAGGTGGGAGAGAGGAGATAGACTCTCAACTTTTGGTTCATTCCCCAAATATCCACAACGGCCAGGCCAAGAGCCAGAAACTCAATCCAGGCCTCCCCTGTGGCTGGTTGGGACCCAACTACTTGAGCCAGCACCTGCTGCCTCCAGAGTGTGTGTCAGAAAGAAGCTAGAGTTATGAGCAGAGCTGGGACTTGAGCCCAGACACTCAGATGTAAGATGTGGGCATCTCAAGAGGTGCCTTAACTGCTTATGCTGAATACCCACTGAATACCCCTGAAGGTGGTGGGTATTCAGGCCTTGGGTGGCAGGTCCAGAAGCTCAGTGACTTGAGCAGCTTGACATAAGATTGCTCTAATTTAACTTTAGGCCACATATGTGGCAGCCAGCAGTTCTCCTGCAGGGAGTACTGATTAATCAAATCTCTAATCAGATCTCTAACTTCAACAACCTATAGGGTGAGCAGCTCTCCCTGGGAATTTCTGTGCTTGAGCCCTAAAAGTCCTGCATTCCAGGGACCACTCAGTTCTGGAAAAACCCAGACAGTTAATTGGTCACTCTAATTCCCAGGGTTCTCAAAATGTCAGTGTATGTAAGAATGAACATGTGTGGTTACTGAAACTGCACATTTCCTGGGTGGATGATTCTGGGCCAGATGTTTTCCTGACCACACTAAGAAATACTGGTAGTGGGGCTGGTGTTCTGGTGCAGTGGGTTAAGCCACCAGTTGCAACACTGGTATCTCACTGGAGTGTCAGCTCAGATCCTAGCTGTTCTGCTTCTGATCCAGCTTCCTGATAATGTACCTAGAAGGGCAGCCAAAGATGTCCCAAGTACTTAGGTCCTGGCCACCCACAATGGCAGACTTATATAGAGTTGCTGGCTCTTGGCTTTGGTCTGTCCCACGTCTGGCTATTGCAGCCATTTGGGGGGTGAACTAGTGGATGGCAGATCTTTCTGTGTCTCCTCTCTTCTCTGTTGCTCTGCCTTTCAAATAAATAAAAAAGTTTCTACCAGTATTTCTTACTTCAAAGATTTAAGTTTATCATTCCTGGTATTTGGCACTTGGCTACCAGTGGCTCTTGAATTTATCTGTATATTAGAGTTAGCTAGGGGGTCAGTGTCATGTAGCAGTGGGTTAAGCCATGGCCTGCGGGGGAGTGCCAGTTTGAGCTCTGATTGCTCTGCTTCTGACCCAGCTCTTTGCTAAAGCACCTAGGAAAACAGGGAAAGATGGTTTAAATACTTGGGCCACTGCCACTCACAAGGCTGACCTAGATGGAATGCTAGGCTCCTGGCTTCAGGCTGGTCCAGCCCTGGCCATTGTGGCCATTTGGGAAATAAACCAGTGGATGGGAGATCTCTTTTCTCTCTCTCCTCCATCTCTATGTCATTCTGCATCTCAAATAAATATATAAATCTTAAAAAATAATTAACTAGGGAGCTTTTAAAAGGTAGATATTGGCTTTGTGGTTAAGACATGACATAGGATGCCAGTGTCCCTTATTAGAGTGGCTGGGTTCAATTCTCTGCTCTGCCCCTGATTTCAGCTCCTTGTTAATATGCACCCTGAGAGGCAGTAGGTGATGGTTCAAGTGGTTGGGTTCCTGCTACCCATGTAGGATAGCTGGACTGAGTTCTCAGCTTCTAGCTTTGACCCAGCTGTTCCCAGAATTTGGGGAGTGAACCTGCAGTTGGGAGATTGTGTGTGTACAGAACCTGATATGTGGACTTGATCTCAGATCAAATAAATTAGAACCTCTAGGGTGGGGTCTGGACATGGGGATTATATTTTGAAAATTCTCTCCCACCCAAGAGAACCACCAGGACACAAAGCAGACATAATCCATGGCGCTAAAAACCTTGGTAACTGCTTGTTTTTGTGCCCCTCCCCCAATTTCCCCTACTTCCTCTCCTGATATAAAATGGGAAAAATGCTTTACAGTGTAAGACGGCATCATCTAAAGAAATTGAAAACAATAAGCCTTCTGGACATTGGGACAAGTGCCTAAAGTGATACTTTCAAGAATGTTAACATGGGGCTAGTGCTGTGGTGTAGCAGGTTAAGCCACTGTCTGCAGTGCTATCATCCCATATGGGCACTGGTTTGAGTCCCAGCTGCTCCATTCCAATACAGCTCCCTGCTGATGTGCCTGGGAAAGCAGTAGAGGATGGCCCAAGAGCTTGGACCCCTCCATCGATGTGGGAAATGCGGATGAAGGTCCTGGCTCCTGCCTTCAGTCTGGCTCAGCCCTGGCCATTGTGGCCATTTGCGAAGTGAACTAGCAGATAGAAGACTCCTCTCTCTGCCTTTGCCTCTTTCCCTCTCTATAACTCCACCTTTCAAATAAATAAATCAATCTTAAAAAAAAATGTTAACTCTAGCTTTAGCTATAATAGTAAAAGCCTGGAACCTATCCAAGTGTCCACCCACAGGACACTGGGCAAAGTGTCAGTCGATTTCTCTATTGGGGTTACCACACTGCCTTGAGAGGAGTGAACCAGAGCTATGTAAGCCAAAATCAGGAAAGGACCATATTTCCCTAAAGCTAGAGGCTCCTGGGTTTAACTACTTGAATTTGCAGGCTGACTTCACTTTGACAGATGGTCCAGTAGCAGAGGATTCCTGGCTGTGACCTTACACCCCTGGCAACAAGAAATCTGGACTGTGCAGCAATGAAGTGTTCTGCTGGCAGGTAGGACTCACTTTGCCTATCCTAAGGAAACAACTTCCTTGTGGTATAGCACTCTTGTAAGAATTAGACAGTGTTGTCACATCTGAATTTCTGCTCTGTAGTTCAGAAGCTGCAAGCACTGACAGAATCTTTGCGCAGGACCCTGGATTGCTTTTAAAGAGGTGCAAAGTCTGATGCTGCATTCTCAACATCATTGCCTTTCATTGTCCTCACAGAGCAGCAAATCCATCAGAAACGCAGATGTTACCATGAGCCCAGGATTTCAAGCTTGTTAATCTTGTCTGGCTTTTCTAGGTGGCTGACAGATGTTTACTTTCTAAAAAAGAGCTTGGGAGCTTACCTGGTCCTAGTTTGGCCACAGCATACAGAAGGTCGTAATTGAGGACAGGGGTGGCATCACTGATGGGCTGCCAGCCGACAGGAGGAGATGAAGGGGGTGAGATGAGAAACTGTTTGGCAGGCTGCGGGGGAGCCAGGTGCAGCTTGTCTCCATCTGTCTCTGGAGTCTGAACCTTTCAAACAGAGTAGGCATGGAGACATTTAGTATGGTTTCAGATGCCTCATAAGACATGGAGTTTCATCCTCAGCCTGTGACAGATGAACCAATGGACTAGACCATCATAATAGTTACTACTCATACCATGTGCCTAATTGTCTCATTGAATCCTTAAGGTGGTGGAGCTCAACCATTAGCATGTCTCAGAATTATCTGGAAGGCTCACCCACAGATCAGTGTGTCCTACTCCCAGCATTCCTGATTCAGGGAGACTGGGGATTCGCAATTCTGATGAGTTCTCAGTGATGCTGCTGTTGCTGGTCCACTGCCTCACCACAAATCTCCCTCTTGCCTGCTTGCCCTATTAGGGGTAAAATTCACATCACACCAACCATTTTAACAATTCACTGGCATTTAGCACAATCCCAGGGGTGCGCAACTACAACCTTTATCCAAATCAAGTCATTTTCAGCACTTGCAAAGGAAACTCCTTACCCATTGAACAGCTACTGCCATTCCCACCTCCCACTAGCCCCTGGTAACCACTAAGTTGCTTTCTGTCTAAATTTACCTATCTTGTGTATTTCATGCAAATGGAATCATACGCTGTAGCAACTATTAGTATTTTATTCCTTTTTAAGACTGAATAATATTATTCATATGGATATATTACATAACAAGTGGCTTATCTACTCATTTGTGGATAGACATTTGGGTTGTTTTACCTTTTGTGTACCGTCAAACTTATTCTGTGAACATGAGTATGCATGTATTTGTTTGAGTACCTATTTTCAATACTTAGCAGAATTGTTGGGTTAGATAATGAGTCGGTCAGAGTTTTGCTTTTTAAGGAATAAACTGAGGTTTTAATGCACGAGGAAACTGAACTTTGTCCAAGTCACACAAATTATCAGCAGTGGCAGGATTTGAACTTGGGTTTGAGGTGATGGTTTGTGTTCTTTGCCCTATGGCATCTCTATGGGTTGAACTCATGCTTTCAGATGATGTGAGAGATGGATCAGAGATCTAGTGGTGAGGCGAGGCTCTGATGGAACGTTGTAGATTGTCCCTTGCTGTGAATCTCATGGGCATCGCCAAGAACTACCTATCCCTTACTGGAATAGCCAGGATTTATTTTTGCTGAAACAAAACACGAAATTAATTTCCATATGTCTGTTGCCTTTTCTCATGGACAGAAATCATTGGAAAGGTTATGTAGTCCACTAAAATTACCATCTAGGTTTTAATTATAACTGTGAAAGGAAGCTTATGGGTAGTGTGATTAGGTTTTAGTATACAGTAATTCACTTAATCCTTCCAGCAATGTCTGGAGGGTTTATCTCCTCATCATGCCCACTGTAACTGATGAGAAAACAGCCCCTGCGTGGTCCTGTAACTTGCCTTGGTTAAAGCCCAGGTTGTCACTGCTCAGAGACTGCTTCCTAAAGCACCAAGCTGTCCCTTTCTGAGGCTCATGATATAGGTTCATTTGTCAGTGAACTAATTATAGACCACAAGCCAGTCTGAAAGTAGACAGTCTCCTTTTACATTTTTTAGGCGACAAAGAATAATGGAGGATGAACAATAACTTTGGTGAAGAATTATCTTACCTGTGCAAAATAGAGTTTTAATTTTTTCCCTCTGAACTGGGTCTCATGAAGCTCTATCCTGGCCCGTGCTGCTGATTTAGGGTTGCTGAAATTTATTCGGACTCGTCTGAAGCTCTTAAACAGCTGGAAGGTCACGCAGTCATCATAAGCCTGGAACAGCCCCTCAAACTTCTCCTGATAAAGACAAACACAAGCCAACATTCATGGTCAAATGTTTTATAGGATGCCAGGCCTGATAGAAACAGCCTATGTATTTAGGCATTTGTTTTTAATAGATAAAACCCTGGTGCTATATTTGTCACGTCTTGGTCTGCTGCCAGGTTCTAACCATGCCTGTGGATTCACTCAAAGAACTCATAACCTCAGTCCAGGAATCTGTAGTTGACTAGTGAATAGGGTTGAAAGTGCAGGTAGCTCATTGAGAAAATCGCACAACACACCGAGTACCTGTGTGTATGTGTGTTTTCTCTGGGGAGAGGGATCAGAGCCCATCATCAGGTTCTCAAGGAGCCCATCTTCTCCAAAATATCAGAGCTACTGAGTAAAGCATGTGGTAAATATTATTAGCAGTTCCCAAACTTGGGGGCACTTTCCTGCCTGCAGATACAGAATCCCACTGGCACCGAGGCCATTGGTCCTGATCCACGAAACACGAGCATCAGGCAGGAAAGGGCTCTTGAGTAATTTTTTTCAGCCTCTTTCTCTGAGTGGCCATATATCCCAGATAATCCAGCTGTCAAAACCCAGATTCTCCTTGCCTTTGGCCCGGATTGGCCATTACAGTAGAAAGAGCTTTCTCCTTGCCTCTACCCCATTCTTTAGCCAAGTTTCCCTTGAAAACAGTCCTCTATTACATTAACACACTGAGATTTGGTGATTATTTTATTCCTGCAACACAGCCAATCCCATGAAAATACAAAACAATCACAACTTCCATCCAATAAAATATTTCAGATTTAGTAAATGCTCACTTTGTACATGGATGGTCACTCTTTAGGCTGTACTAGGATCCACAGATGAATATCATATTATTTCAACCCTCAGTGAACTAACAATCTAACATGACAGACACAACAAAAGAACACCCAGAAGGCATAAAGGGAAAATGAGAGAATCAAGAAATATGTCTATTAACACCATCTGTCTTGCTTCTCTTTGCCTTGAGGAAAAAATCCTTATGGGCCTAATGTTGTCGCAAAGTGGGCTAAACCATTGTTATGACTTAGGCATCCTCTATTGGAGTACCAGTTCAAGTCCTGGCTGCTCCACTTCTGATCAAGCTTCCTATTTACACACTCAGGAAAGCATTAGATGGTGACCTAAGTATTGGGTCCCTGATACCCACCTGAGAGACCAGGATAGAGTTCCTGGCTCCTAGCTTCAGCCTGGCCCAGCCCTGACTATTGCAGACATTTGGAGAAGGAATCTACAGATGGAAGATCTCTCTTCCTCTTCCCCTCTCTCTCACTCTGCCTTTAAAATAAAATCTTTAAAAAAATCCTTATAAGAAAACCAGTTCATGTTAAGCTTTTGTGTATTATTAATGAAGAAAATGCCACTAAGGAAATAAGTTCTATTTAAAAAAAAATTCTTTTACCAGTAAGAAATATTTTGTCACAAGGGTCCAAGTGGGACTGGAGATGCATGAAATGCTAACACTAAGATTTCACAGAATCTGATCTTGAAATCAGCCTTAGAGATGATGAAGTCGACTTTCCCCCTCAACTACCCTATAGCATTTTATGAATCAGGACTCTAAAGTATGAAGCAATAAGGACCCAACCGTGGATATGTGGACAATCAGTGGCAGAGCCACGATCAGACCACAGCCCTTGTGGCCCTCACTTCAGAGACCTTCCAACTATGTGAAAAATTTACACTGATAGCTTGACAGGAAGAGATTGGTAGCAGTAAACTGACTCAAGACTGAAAGGTCACACATTATAAGAATCAGCCTGGTGATGTGGGCTTGTGGGAAGAGCCACTCAGGTGTCAGGGAGGGGTGGACTGCCTGCCTGTCGGGCATCTAGAGGGATTTGGCTCAAGTTCTCGATCCTCATGTCCCTGCCTACATCCTTCCAAACCCTGCTGCCCATTTCTGAGAACAACTCTGGCTCTGGCCTTCTGTATTCTCTGTCATTTGTGGCTCCTGTGCCTGCACATTCTTTCTCTTGTATACCATTAAATCTAGTCCAACGACCTCAAATAATGTATCCAAAGCCTTTGTTTTGTTTCAGGAACCTTATTAATGGAGCTTTGAGGGAGGTTCTTTTTCCCCTTTTCAGGCTCTGTTCTTATTCCCCTCTCCCTATCAAGAGCAAAACAAGACTCCTTCCTTGTTTTATGCAGGGTAACTTTTTCTCCCATTTCTAAAGCTTGGGATCAGCCAACTCCCAGCCCTGAGGCTTCAGCTACCACTCCAAGGGGGCTCATTATGGGATTCTTTCCCAACAAGGCTGTGTTTTCCCCCAGTAATAAAATGTTTTCTGTCTCTTCACAGTGAGAGGACGCTGAGCTGGTCTAATTGCAGCTCGTGGTTTGATTCATTCAGGGGCGTGTTCAGGAAGGGCAGGCATAAAGAGACTAAGAGCTTTTGTTTCTGGGTAAAGGATGATATTCCTTAGGACAACATCCTGGTGTGCCCACTGCAGCTGTAATGTTTTCCCAGTTTCAGTTTGGGAGTCTCACCTTAATGCTACTCCAAGGCCTGAGCATGGGCAGGTAAGGCCAGCTTTGAAGAAGAGGTGCACTTTTCATTTTATGTTTCTTTTATCTGCCTCACATCTCACTTTATCAGAGTTGTGGGGCTCCAGAGTCTGGATCAAGAGAAAGGAATCAAGAAGTCTACATTTTAACATAGGCATTGTGGATGCCATCAGCCCATTTCAGAGTGATGGTTTGTGTTCTGCCACCTCCACCTCTGATTCAGCTTCCTGCTAGCACATCCTTGGAGACAGCAGATGATGACTCAAGTACTTTGGGTCTCATAATCCAATTTGGAGATCCAGATGGAGCTCTGTGCTCCTGGATTCAGCCTGGCCCAGCTCGGGCTGTTGTGGGCATTTGGGGAGTGAGTGAACCAGTGGACGGAATATTTTGATTCACTAATTTCTCTCTCCTCTCCTTCCTCTTCCTCTCTCTTATACACCCTTCTCCATCACCCTCCCCACCCCCATCACTCTGTCTTTCAAGTAGATGAAACTAAATGAATATTAAGAAAAGTCCAGGTTTTAGGCTTTGGGGAAGGGTCACAGTAAACGGCCTAGGTTCTGCCTCCCTTGGGAATGCTGGCAGGCAGCAATAGCTGATTACAATTGTCTTCTCCACTTGTGCTGAAAAAAGAGCTCTGGGCCCCTACAACCATCAAGCTGAAGTTGGCCATTGACATAAACCTCTTTCATATCCCTTGTTTGGAGCATAAGCCAACAAGAAAAAGAGCTCTTGCCTCAAATCAAGGGTACAGCCCAGAACTTGGAGGCTTAGATTTTCACTGGCCTGGCACTTAAAGTTTACAATGATAATAATAACAAACAGCTGGTATTTACTTGGCATGTCCTCTCTGTACAGTTCTTTTGGGAACTTGCAATTACAGTGAGTGACAGCTGGCCAAGAACTGGGGACTTATTGGCCATCTATATTTTTGTTTCCATTAGTCACATTACAAACATTTCATCTGCTGAGGACACAGGATACCAGGCCCAACTGGTTAGAGGCAGGAAGAGCTCATCAGATGTATTCGTAGGCAAAACACTGATATGGAAAGAGGGAGTTTCAGGGATAGCAAAAAGATTTGTGTCACTGGGCAGTGCCACCTGCCATCACGGCACATGTACAGTGCTGATGCCCAGGTTCCCAAAAGGCACACAGTGACATTTTGTTGTCCTCAGGCCGTTAGTTTTCTCCAGTTTGCTAACCCACCAATCCAAGAAATTCCCCATTTCCTCATTAGTTCACTTTCTGGGTAGGCTCTGGTTTGAATAAAGTTCTATAAGAGCAATCTTAAGTTCTTTGGCCTCAGGACATTTTTATACTCATAAAAATTACTGAGAATCCTAAAGAACTTTTGTAGTACAATGAACATTGATAGCTAAAACCCACATTAGCAAATCAAACTATTTTAATGAAAAAAAAAAAGTGACTTTTTTTCCAAAACAAAGATGTAGTGAGAAGACTGGCATTGTCTCACATTTTGGCTAGTCTCTTTAATTTCTGACTTCATAGAAGACGCCTGGAATCTTCTACTCCTGCTTCCGCATTCAATCTGCTGCACTATATTTTTGAGCAAAGGATACAAAACTGGCCACATCCAAATATGTAGCAGTGTGTTACTAGCCTTTCAAATAATTATGAATGTTGGGGCCACTGCTGTGATACAGCAGGTTAAGCCGCCTTTTGCAGTGTCAGCATCCAAAATGGGTGCCAGTTTGAGTCCTGGCTGCTCCACTTACAGTCCAGCTCCCTGCTAATGCACCTGGGAAAGTAGCAGCAGATGGCCAAAGTACCTGGGCCCCTGCACCCACATGAAGAAGCTCCTGGCTTCAGCCTGGCCTAGTCCTAGCTGTTGGGGCCATACGGGGAATGAACCAGTAGATAGAAGATCTTTGTTTCTATAACTCTGACTTTCAAATAAATAAATCTTTAAAAATAATTATGAATGTTCTTCCTTGATACTTTAAAAAACTTGTTGAATTTTGATAAAGTGTATTGCAACATTGAATTTGAAGCCATAATCAAATAACAGTTTATTTGATTACATTAAATCCATTTATATATTTTGTGCTTTGAGTTGATTTTTTACTCATATGTGATTTTGTAATAGTGTGCATTGATCATTTTGAAAAAAAAAAAAATGGGTCTCTGAGTTATACAGCCTTTCCAAACTGGCCAATTCCATTGCACAATATTTTAAAAAAAATCATGCTTAGTACTATTGCCATCTTACCAAAAAGTCTTTTAGATATTGTACAGTTGCCAAAAGCCCATTAGTGGATTCAAGTTTTCCAAAATTCTAATATTTTGCTTGAAAGCCCATTCTTTATCATGAACAAACACTGCCAGCTATTTTCATAGCGGTAACAGATCTACCCCATTCATGCCGGAGAAAACACCTGCCTAAAACCTAGGTGTGCATAACCACAGTTTGCATGTCCATTGTTCTTTCAAGTCAAAATGAT